AATAACTTCTTACTATTTCACGTAAACAATAACTATATGTATAAACAGTAATCGTGTCTGTGAATAGTATTGTGCTTATGAATAATATCGTATTTATGAACAATACCGTACTCGTGAATAGTACCATCGTTTTCAAAGGGTAAATAATAATCTAATTTATTTTCTGATGTGAAGGATCCACCTTTGATAGCAGCCACAGAGTATATGATAAGTAGATACACGCACCCTAAGTCAGACTCTGATACCACTTGTTGGGATAAACATGGGGCCCAATAGAGCAGAGTCTCAGTGAAAAGTAGAGTAAAAATAATAAAAACACACAGATTTACGTGAAAAACCCTTTAAATAAATTTGGTTTAAAAACCTTGGGCTATGATAGAAGACTCCACTATGAGAAAAAACTTTAGAGTTACAATCTCTCTTTACAAGGAGAAACTCTCTTTATTTTCTTCTCTCACTCTTCTATATGTGGAGTTGTTTCTGAGATGGATTTTTCCTGAAGAGTTTTTGACCTATTTATAGCGGTCGAGAAAATACTATTCCTAATTTTATAATATTTTTCTTTTACTATGCCAACCTTTCGGTGCTCGCTTTTCACTTTCGGTGCATTTGTTCTTGTGAAGCCCGCCACCTTTTTGTTTATCCACAATTGCTGCTGTCAGCAATTGCGGCTGACATTAATGTCATATGCTTAAAAGTTAGCAATAGATGCTAAGTATTATGATCTTAACAAACATATTATATTCCATATTATTCCCATGATATCGGTTTAAATTCACTATCAAGTTTTTTTTTTCTCCAGTTTTTCCTATTATATTCAATATTATTCTAATGAATTCAATTTCTACTAAAAGAAACTGTTTTGAAAGAAATTAAAAAAAGATTATTAATATGACTTAACGCTTTCATGTATGTTCTGTGGTTTCATGAATCAAAGTTGGATCTCCGTACGTGGAACCAAACCTCACTTTCACTTGTAGAGGCCTTCAGCAAACAAAGTTGTCTCTCATCTGTTCCCTTCCGCTAAATATGATTCTAGACAGGGATAGGAGTATCGTTTTGCGAACGTGAACACACGATGACGGACGCCACAATTTCAAAATTTAGAGACACACAAACAGTATTTGGCACGTTAATTTTTTTTCTCAAAAAACACTTGACAAATTAGGGTATCACATAGATGAACACGTGTCGTTTCCAAGTGTACCTCCGACATACCAATTTTCGGTTGCAGGAAGTGTCCAACGTATCATAGATTTTTTATATATGTTTAATTAATATTCATGTTTAAATATTTTTTTGGTCTTTTCGCTTCATGTCCACTTAAATATATCATGTTTTTCATATAGTTTTAAGGACGAAAAGAGTTAAAATTTTAGTTCAGAGCTACATATATACCGCATGGTGGCTTGAACGAAGGAGTTGTAAGGCCCCTCTGGCCTCTAATATGATAACTCCATACCATAACAAACGAGCACAGAACTCTGAGAAAATATTTCAACACAAATTAATGCTTCCTCTCTACAGGTACATTCAAGGCCTAGATCAAGGCAAGGCCATGAATCTCCTATTCATCAAATCCGAAATGCCCACGCCTTCCGGCCTCCCGGCCCGGCCTGTGCTTACCAGCTACTACAAAAGTCCTCATTTCCGCAACCGCTCTCCCGATCGCTTCAACGACCACACTAGCCCCGACGAGGCCATTCTCTGCCGCGATATCCACCAAAGCATGTA